GACTCGAAGTCGACCACATGTTCGGGGGTGTCGATTCCTCGTTGAAATCGCACAAGAGGGGTGCCGGACTTCGTAGTAGTTTTGATCGGCAGCGGTCTTTTCAAACCCCAGTCTCCTTGATTGAGTGATGATAGGGGTGTTTCAAGGGCAGCTCGAGTCGGGTACGGGGTGGTTGCGGAATCTGAGTATGATATGGGTTCTGATGAAGGTTCTATCGCTGGCAGGGGTATAGCTGCTGGAATGGCGAAGAGTCTGGAATTGCGTAGCAAGCTTGCTGCTGGTGACAGACGAGCAGCAGTCATCGCTGCGGAGTCTGGTCAGACTTACACAAGATGGATGTGCTGAGGCGATGTGGATGAAGCTCTGCAGACGAACAAAGCTCAAGTCGCAGTTCCATTGGGACAAATTGTTGCCAAGCCTGGGTTCTGCACCAAGACAGGTAATGCCCAAGAGTAGCGCAAGGCTACGAGGCTGAAATTCTCTTGGCTGCCAGGCTGCGTTTCTGGTGCCTGCCTTGTCGATGCTGATCTTTGCCCTGCAGGCAAGGCAGCCGACCATCCGATTTTCATTACTTTTCAAACATGCCGGTAGTCGACCTTCTGTGTGGAAGCTAACGAGTACCTCATACAGCTCGGTCATTTACGCTGTCCCGTTCAACTAGCTTCGGACATCTCTCTTTACCAACTGACCTCCACAGACCCTGCGTGACCCAATCACGAGCCAGTGTGCGCATGTCTAGAGACACATCTTGCCATGCTCAACCACAAATCACAACAGAGCAGCTTCGGAAATAATCCACTGTGAAGGCTTCTAGAAATCCTTTTAATGGCACCTCTTGGCGATCGCTTGTTGTTATTGGGTGACTTGATACACAAATTTGATGCACGAGGCAAGTCTCGATCTATATTAAGATCTCGGTTACATGGTTACTCCATCACCCCGCTTCGTCTCGTTGCCTCCACCACCAACGTCGTGAGTGCGTCTGGGTGACGTTCCAAGGCTTCAATGGTTATGGCAAAATACTGAATACGGATACGAGGCCGCCTTCATCATTGCAAATGCAAGCTTTGTGCCTCGGCCAAGCTGCAACGGTAATACTCTGCGACCATCATGGCTACAAAGAGCCCTTCTGCCCCGGAACTGGTCTATGGGCACTCTAGCACCATTCGTTGGTATGCTGGCATTGAATCTCATTCTGGGAGACTGACACATCGAGTACAGCTTGAGCCTCTGATATTCCACCTTTGACCAGCATGATTATCTCTTTATTGCTGTCCGTACTGAGCATGGCTGTGGGAACCTGGTGTCAAACTGTTCCTCTGCCTCCTCCAGTCTCTACCAACGTCTTCCTTACCACTTTTCCCCTTACAGACGCATCTCGTGTTGATCCATTTGCACCATGCTGCAATCAGCCTCGCCGCTTGATGCTATCTCTTTTCCAACCAACGAATTGCACAAAGACTAGCGGGTTCCCTTATATGCCGCCTGCTACCGCTGCTTTTCACGACGCCATGTTCAATGCTTTTGGTATCCCTAACGGAACCTTTGGAGCATTCCGGCTCCAAACATGCTCTTCACCACCCAAGAACACAAACTTTCCCGTGCTGCTCTTCTCCACAGGATCTGGAGGCTCTCGCCTGATATATAACGTACTCTGTCAGTGGGTGGCGTCTATTGGATTCAACGTCATCTCAATTGATCATACGTATGATGCCGGGATCGTGGAGTTTCCAGATGGAACCGTCATTCTGGGCGCCAATATCACCCTGCCAGACGACCTGGCAGAAGTTACTTCACTCAGAGTTGCAGATATTGGCTCCGCGCTAAACGCTCTGTCCAACTCGACTTTGACGAAGCAAATCGGCATCCCATCTTTCAACATCAGTCGTGTTGGGATATTTGGACATTCGCTCGGTGGTGCAACTGCTGCAAACGCAATGCTGGTGAAGCCGAGACTTGCGAGCGGTCTAAATATGGATGGCAGTGTGTATGGCCCAGCGATGAATCATTCCAACACAAAACCTTTCACTATTTTTGCGGCACAGAGGCATAACCAGAGCACCGATGCCACATGGGCGGCTTTTTGGCAAGAGTTGAAGGGATTAAAATTGCAACTACAAGTCAATAATACAGAGCATGGAACATTCACGGATTATCCGATCCTGACCAAAAGCCTCGGGATCAACGCGACTATCCTTCCGCAGGTTACAGACTTAATCGGGACCATTGATGGAGTTCGGATACTAGATATCCTTCGCAGATATATTGGCGGGTTTTTCCAGGAGACTTTGGAAGTGCAAAAGGTCAAACTAATTCAGGGACCTAGCCCGCAGTTTCCGGAGGTTGCTTTTGTGAACAGTTCTCTGACCTCACATACATGAACCCAGAAAGGATAGGCTCTATCTCATGTCGGTGGATACGACGATCTTGGTCCTTCTCCTTCGCTTTCCAGAAACGCATGGTTGTGGACCAAGCGAGGACATTGTTAAATGAGTTATAAATGTGAATGGCTTCACAAATGCCGGGAGAGTGTCAGTGCGTTAAGATTTAGAGATAGTCCTCCCACAGGGTTTATGAAGTCTTTGCCATCCTGATAGCACCCAATCTTCAAGCATCGCCTCGCTATGGTTGTCCCAATGTCAATCCCGAGCTCCTGTCCTTCACCGACTTTTCCTACTACAGAAGAAGCTAAGAGGTTCGAAGTGAGGCGCCTGGGGCTTGAATGCGACGACTTCCTCTGCGAGTCATGCCGCGTCGAGCTCTCCAGCCACCCAAGAATGGCCCCAGCTGTGGTCGCAAAGCAGGTTTTAAAGCAGCCGGCGAGACGGGATCGCTTCCCCTGGGGGCAGTCACCAGCGAATTTTCCAGTTGACTGAATTTGAGTCACCAGGTTCAGGATACCAAGGTGGGCTTAGGCATTGGTATCCGTCGTCAACAACGATGTCATAGGAGAGTGAAGAAAAGTCCAATCAGTAGTCGTACTCAAGGTCAGAGTTGGGCAGCAGGCTGGGTGGCAGGGAGACTGCAACTGGGCGGTCCGTGTGGAACGTCAATTTCCAATGGCATCCGCCACATTTGACTGCGAGAATTCGACCACGCTGCCCTCATTAATATCCTCATGTCTGTGACCGTTGACTTACGAAGAGCTTGTCTTTCACAAATAACTGACACCCACGAACCGATGTATATTGTCCTTTCCTTGGTGGCTGACGCGGCTTCAAAGTCAACTTGGCCTACAGCAATTGCCCACCACCTGTGTGTAGGGTCGTGCACCTTGAAGACGACCTCATCCGCTCAGAAAACCAAACACCCACTACAAGATGAGAGTTGAGTCCATGCTGTGGACAAATCCCCCACTAGCCTCTGAATGTCGCAGCCTAGTCATACGACATGACATCCTAGACCCGTCCACCTCAACTGGCTTATGATTCTCGTGGAGACCGGAGAGAAGATATGATCAACCCGGACATTGATGCCATGATAAAATGTGCTCGTATGCGACAGAGATTACTGGTGTCGTGGATGCAGTATCAGGCCTCCTGCTGCAAATGGAATGAACCAAGAATTTCCACACGGCAAAGATATCACAATGTCAGAGTGCAGATCGTGATGGCCAGGCAAACTACCAAGCAAAAGCAGTCCCAGCAACTCCAGGCCAGGGAAACCTCAGAAATGCCTTGTGGTCAGCCAGCTCAGACCCGAACCAACAGATAGCAAACACGGGGCCGGCCTGTCCAGTGGGCGTGCGGTGGCTGCAAGATTATTCGCAATATGCAAATGGGCGGTGAAAGGAGAACTCGAAGTGCCCAGACGAATAGAAGAACGCATGCCCAGGCGCAAGGACAGCCTCTTCGATCACAAGGGACACTGGCTGTATATGTCCACGAGCGCACGGTATATGGGCAATGATACTCTCGATATCTACTGAAACCTGGATGATTCCTCCATCAGAGCGTGTGGATCCGGGATACCTTCCTTCACAACGCTGCGCAGTTGCAGAGATCACAATCCTCTCAGCTAGCCACGAGATTGAGAACCAGCGGATTCTTTGCTGCCCCAGGGTTGGCGGAGAGGCCCGATCTTTCGACACTCAAACAGCCCTAGTCTAGAGCGGGTTGGCGCCATCCATGATTAGGGGTTTATGTAATCCATGGTCTCGACCGAAGCAAAGACGAAAGCGACCCCCAGAACAAGATCGTTCGAGGGAGAAGTAACAAAGCGGAAGGGCACAGTGGATAGCACACCCCTTTTCCCACCTCACCACTTTGTTGGTAGACCGTCCGCGTCGAGTCACTGAATACAAGTACTGGCGACTAAGAAGCAACCATATTACTACTTCGTGTTCCACAACAATTCCCTGACGGCAGTACCAGCATCACAGGGCAATGTTAGTGCTTAGGCCTTGAACCATCCTTTCACCGGTTATTAGCGAAAGCTTGAAAACAACCGCTGGAAACTGGATGGATGTTATGGATCCATCCACACGGGAAGCACCTTGCATTCACTTTGGGAGCCTCCATTGTTAACATTATCGATGCTTTCCTCTCCACGTCAGGCGAGGTGCGGCGTTACCGAGAGAATATGGGCAAGTCAGCGGAGATGCTCTAGGCCGCTCAGCAATGGCTCAGGCGGGATGGCAGTGCTCTATTTAGGCACTGATGACGCGAATGAAGACCAATTGTGCTTGTCCCATTTCCCAATTTGCATATTGCAAGTTGCATACCGCAAAGTGCGGATAGCATTTTGCGAAGACCAGCTTCTAGGGAAGGTCTACGCCAGCTATTCGCTGTCTCTTGTGCGCAGCAGAGGCACTGCCCAAACCACACAGAACAAGGAGGCAAAGTCTGCCTCATCGAGGTTGTTCTCAGTTTATAGCCAAGTGCCCGGCCCGGTATCTTGTTTTATGAGAGACGTTCGCTTTGCCTTCTTGCCTTATCATAACCTGTGTCCCTGCTGCAGACCACCCTCAGCTCCGTCTCGACCAGCATCACCCGTTCACAATGGCAACTAGTCTGACACACTTCCCCTTTGAGAGAATTGCTGGGACCATGGCTCCGGATGACAATAGCATCTTCGGTCTCGCTCAGTCAGCCATTCTACGAGGCTCAAGCGTATCTATATCTGTCGCCTTTCTGGCCCTAGCTGTCTTCGTTTCACCTACAAAACTCTTCAGTTGTGCGATTCTGGCCCTGTGCCTGCAACTCTTCTTTCCTGTGAGTTGCGGGGGACAGCATGGGTCAATCCTCCAATCGACCGGACTCGCGAGGGTTCAAGTCGTGCTTGAGCGCTTACTCCAGAAACTCCTGCGAAAGAGTTTGCAACATCTAGTGAAGTGCCTATTTCGACTCGCTGAGCTAGTTCGCGAAGATCCCAACCCCAAGGAGGGATTTGGGAAACGATCAAAGCCTTCGCCAAAGCAGTTGTATACCACAGAACAACGCCTACAGTTGACGTCTTCTAGACCACTCAAGGCCCAACGAGGGACTCGTGGTCAACGTTCCTCTCGCGCATCGTCGTACGAGTTCAAGCAGGCGAAATATGGTGTTGAACATTACCTGTTGGGTCGGAGAGCGGCTCGAGGGGATCATTATGGTCAACTACCACTAGAGCCACAAGACATACCAAGACCGCTACTCGAACGACGATCACCCCCCTCCGTCCAAGGTTTGAGAAGTCTCATCAGTCAGTCATCTCATAGGTCTCCTGAAGGAGACAGTCCTCCGCGCCCACTGCATCCTAGTCAGCCTTATCGCGCTCTCTTGCCCGCCCCGCCCGAAGCGCCACGGGGCCCCTCAATTACAACGCCACCAAAAGGCGATTTTACACAAGTTGTGTCACCCCGAGCTGCGGCCCAGCCTTTCTCCTCCTCAGCTGTCTATACCTCACCACAAGTCCAAGGGCGCTCGAACCGATTGACGGCCAGTCCCAAGCATCAAGGGAATCCAGTTCAACATAGCCTTCTTGTCGTCGATGCCTCTGAGTACAAGCCGCCTCAGCGAGCCCAGCCGGGTCCCACGTTAAAGGGCACTTCGGCCTCTCTCGACATCAATGGACACCTTCCAGACACGGCAGCATTGCCTCAACTGGCCGCCGGGCCAGACGGAATCACCTATTGTGTTGGAGAAACTTCTAGAAAGAGAGCAAGAGGGAACCAGAGCTCGTCGCGCTCTCAAGGCAACGCCAGTGAGCGGGACACTAATGGGAATGGAGGCTCTTCGATCCCCCCTTCGGGAGATGATCCTGAGTCTGCCAATGAAGAGCGGAATCCCAACCAAAACAAGAAGAGAGCGTCTGAGAGCAAAGAGACAGGGCCACACTTCCGCTGTCCGAGGTATTGTGCCAATCCTCGGGAGTATGGCGATCCAAAGTGTAAACACTGGCGTGGTCGTAGCATTCATGATGTGACTCGACATGCACTCAAAGATGCGGCGGGAGATGCGGCCAAGCGGGAAAAGCTACAGGAGTATATGAGGCTCTCTCCACGGGAACGCTGGGAACGATACGTGGAAATATTCAGTGACGGGACCGAGACTGACCAAATCAACGATCCATACTGGCCCGATGTCGATGCAGAAGACCTGGTGACTAATTTCCTGAGCGGCATCACGGATCAAATGAGACGCAATATAGATGCCGTTGGGGGGTTGGGAAAAATCCAGCAATTCAACGAATTGTTGATGGAGAAGAAGTTAAGAGATGAGCGCATCCGATTCCAATATCAGGTTGAGAAGACCGCTGCGATGGAGCGAAAATATCAGGCGCTACAAGCCTCCCGACGGGAACTCGCTGGCGGCATCGAAGCGCTCCTTGGTGGCGGAACTTCAGAAACAGCACTCAATCCGACGGCCCTTGTGGAGAGGCAGAACAAGAACGACTTGGTTGGGCTCGCGCCGCCAATTAACCCGCCGATACAACGATCACACAGTGGACAAGGCTCAGAAGTCGATATGAGCAGATTGGATTGCACTGTGCCGATGGCGCAGACTCAGGCAATGGGAGTCTCAAATAACGCGATGCCAGCGATATACCAACAAAACTATTATTCTCCCTCACAACAACGTGCTAATAAGGTCATCACAATTGCAGAAGACGCCATGGACGGTACTGGAAACCCCAATATGGCTAACGCCTGCCCACCCAACATGGCACTCAATCCTCCGCCACCTACATCAAACGCCTTTTCCAGCCCCGAAGTCGGTTACTTTTTGTCGCCAAATCTATACCAGCCCATGAGTTCAGCCAGCTCTGCTCAGAACCATTCGCACAGTCACAGCGGCAATTATGGCGTCACATCGAGCTGGGGTACCTCTTCGTTTGACCCAGGTTACGGTCCTTTGCCTCCACAGCCGCGCAACGGCAATGAAGGTGGCGTGTATGGTTATGGAGGTGGCTACCACCCTATGGGACAGTAGGGCATGCAGTGCAGTCTATCTTTCCATCGGAAAATGGAAGCGTGTCGAGCGACTTTAGTCCATGTGGACTGGGTTCTGCGGGACTTGGTTTACGTGGCTTGCGATTTATGACGACGGGTTTGTTGAACCTTGGCGATGACATTCTGGACGGTGTTTTAACGATACTTATTATGATGTGACCGGTGATGATAATGACATGAAATTTATGATTATTTTGCCCATGTATAGCTAATTCCTCAGCCTCGTCGGGCTTGTTTGAGCTGCTTGTGGGCAAGGCTGCGCAAGGCTGGACAGCCCCCTGTGGTGCTGCTTTTTCTCGCAAACCTAAATTTCCAACTTGGACAAGTCCCCGCGAGAGTCAAATCGTTAGTACGTGCTCCATCGCCAGTAACTCGCACGTAGAGATGCAGTATGTGAAATCACCTCTCCATTTTGACACTCAACGGGACTTAAAAATGTTCCTTCGACTAGTTAATCTTCCTCGCATCCCTCACCAAGCGCCGCGCGCCCTTGGTGAGTGCGCCACCGTTACATTCTGGGCGCTCACTCAGTGATGCGGTCCGGACGCCACATGGGACAATGTGACAAAGGCAGGCGCCCGTCTGCGTGCGGAGCTCTGGCGCCTGAGGTGTCCCTCTCTCCCTTGTCTATGATTGAATGAACCGACGAGGGCGAGCACGAGCACGAGCACGAGGACGGGGATCAATTATTCGTGCGGCTATCATGTCGCTGGTGGTCAATGCTACTCTTTCCAGCTATGTTATCCACCCTCTCGCTCTCGCTCTCGTACGGACGTGTCCTGCCCTCAACACCACTTTCGCGGTCTGGGGACAGAAGATACGAGTGGGCAGGCACAAGCCTGCTGAATGTACGAGGTACACCTCGCCGTCCGCCCTGCCGCCTCGATCACAGATTGTACCACCCACCGTCATCTGTGCTGAATCGACCGCCACTCCGGCTCAGAATGTATTGTACATACGAAACCCGCTCGTGCCACGATGACGTATGTCTTTGTCTATGATTCCTCTACGACCTCTACTCGGTACCTTCGACTGTCCGAGGCTCTACCTACCTACCTGCTGTATGTAGGGCTAAGCTCCTCCGGGTGACTGCGTCGCGACGACGATAACCACCGAACCCCCCTCGGCGGGGGAATGGCCTGTGTCGCGCCCTGAGTCTGGATTTGGAGCTGAAAAGAGACATATACATACCTCTTGGTGTGCGCGGGAAGCTGTCAACACCCGGAGCGGATTTCGACTTGTGGACTTGGACTTTGGCTGTGGCTTGCTGGGTAATCTATCTCTTGGGGTGCAAGTGAACGTAGCTGTGGTGAGTGGGTCTCTGGTCAACGCGCTCCAAGTCACACACGAAAGAGAGACAGAAAGGCATATAGGAAGGAAAAGAAACAAAGGGAGTCCATGGACCCTTGAGTAGCCAAAAGCTCAGCTTGAGCTTGAGCGTGGTGATTGCTTCCATCAGCATTCTGTGCCGAGTATATACACATATATCCTCAACAAAATCCAACGGCATCGGAGGCATCCATCTTAGTCTTAAAAGTCTTAGTGTACAAATATCGGCCCGCTAATGATACAAAAGTCATTCGTAAAGTCGTGATGCGAGAGAGATGGAACTAGCGTCTCCTCGATTTGCTTTTTTGCTTTCTTGCTTTTTTGCTTTCCAATTTCACGCCGCCTAGCTAGCTCAATTCGCTCCAGCTCAGCACAGCTCAGGCCAGCCCGGCACCCGCGACAAGGCTAATTACCAATACCATCGCCACGAAGAGCCCGCCGAGGCTGTCGCGTACGTGGACTGTGCTGGCGCCCGAGCCGCTGGCCAGAGTGACGCTGGCGCTGGCGCTCGGGGTCGTCTGGGCCCCGTCGCTGGGCGATTCTGTCGTCGGGGGTTGGTCCGCTGTCGTCACGGTGGTGATGGTCGAGGGGCCGGCGAGTGTCGAATCGGTCGCGGTGGCTGATGCCGATTCGGTGACGGTGGTGCGGGTCATGGTGGTATCTGGTACGAAGGATGAGTCGGAGGTCGAGGTCGAGGTCGTGGACTCTTCTGTTGAAGTGGAAGACGAGGTGGTGGTAGTGGTAGTTGTCGTAGACTCGGTCGTCGAGCTGGAGGTGGATGATTCCGTAGTACTTGAGGAGGTCGTCGTCGTCGTCGTGCTCGATTCCGGCTGCGACGTGTCCTGCACCTGGAACCAGTTCGCTGTGACGGGCTGGCCGATGCCCGCAGCGGCAGCGAACCCGGCCATGTCGAAGCCCAGCCGGGCATTGGAGTCGGGTGAATCAAAAAAGGACTGGAACGACGACGGGATGCTGAACCCCTTGGGCTGCGAGTACAGCAGCAGCGTGTACCGGTGCGCCTTGTCCCCGGGGGGAGGCGTCGGCGGCGTGTACTCCACGGCCGGCGCGGAGGTGAAGTTCTGTGAATCGCTGCCGAAGTCGAAGAGGACTTCAGACGCGCCGGCCAGGTTGGGCTGGTACCAGTGCAGGAACTGCACGCGCGAGTTGGCATCGTTGGGAGAAGTGGCGTCCTGGTCGATCATGAAGATCATAAAGTCCAACGTCCGGGACGAATCTTCGGGTCCGTTGACGGTGGGGAGTTCGAGGACGTCTTTTATGACAATTTAGTCAACCATAAATCCAGAATGAAGGACAGCCTACTTACCATCACGAGATATCGTCATACCGGGCGGGTTGACGATGGTGGCAGAACTCTGGAAATCGACCCGCAGATTCTCCGAGACTTGGACAGGAAAATCCGGCGCCGATTGAGCGTTTACGATCGCCGCCAGGGCAAATAACAGAAAAGAGCGTGAGGCGTGCATATTAATGACTGACATGATGTAGCGAGGACAAGGCTGTGTGTGAAAGACGGAGCGAGGGCCTGACTATACACAAACTGGAAAAAAGGTAAAGATGGAATAAAGATCGAACAAGACACTCTTTCGTCTTTGAGCAGGTAGGGCTTTGGGGCCGTCCATTTATTATGTACTTACATACTCCTCAACTTTGAGGCTAGAGCGGCTGATGGAGATCTTGTAGGGGGGGTTATGAATAAGGTTGCCTTTCGAGACAAGTCCCGTGTTACAGCTCGGTGATGTACCATGCAAGGCTCTGTCGCCGAGGCCTTGGCCTCGACCACGATTGAGTCGGCTAAGATTAGATAGATGCCTTTTGGACTGTTGATAAAAATTGACCATCTCGGCGCGTTGAGGGCGGAGTCGGGATGTGCTTTACTTGGACTTGGCCGGCGTTGGCAGGTCACCTCACTTGAAAGAGGTCAACGCCGAACATAGGCTCAAGGACCGACTAATAAAGGAGAAAAGGTGGGCACAGCCACTGGCGAGACGCTCAACTGTCGGAGCTTGAACCATTGCGCGTTTCAAAATTGGGAGGCGAGAGAAGCGCGAAACAAAGGGCGAGATTGGCTTTGGTTTCAGCCCCTGAGGACGCCGCCACCAGCTCTGCGCGAGGCTGGTGAGGCGCTGCACCGCCACAACCGCGTGAAGAAGCTCTGAAGACATATGGAAGAGACGAAAGGATGAGCAAAAAAGTATATCGACTCCGAAACATATGTACAACTTGGAGATGGTGTAGCTACTCCTTTGTCTCTGGCAGGTCGAGCCACAGATAGTATACATAGATAGCTGCCTCGTATTCACTCCTTCCCCCATAACCGAAATACCCTGGCTTCAGACCGCCGAAATCCAGTTCATCCTCATCGTATGCCTTCTCCCCAATTCCCAGGAAGAGCAGCTTGCCACCCTCGCACTCACCACCGCCATGCGCCTTGGTCAGGTCCTGGACCAACTTCCACTCCCGCTGAAATCTCTCCACGAAGTTGGGAAAACTGGTGTCATTCTCCCCCGGCGTCGCGGTGCAAACCCAGATCGCCACATCGTTCACCTTCTGGTTGGCAGCAGGTCCGACAGTGAGATCCACGTCGGGCTGGTTCTCTCCCCATAAGGGCACACTGTGGGAGACGACGTAGTCCTGCCTGGGATAATCTTGCCTGACTTCTCTGCACATGCCCTTTACGAGATGGGCGTAAAGGTCGTATCGAGCCCAACCTCGCCAATCAGCATGGAGCCAGAATGAGGCGATCTTCTCCCAGTTGGAGTCGAGCCAGTTTTGGATCTCGGGGATGACGTCGGGGATAGGATGAGCATCCATGGTCAACTTGTTGGAAAGATCGGGCTTCTGCTTACATACATGTATAACAGAGAATTGGAAACGGGAAAAGAGGATTTGTGAAGCCAAGCCACTAGGAATTACAATGACTTCACAAGGTGTTCTATCACCGAGTATAGAGCCCCAATCCAGCTACAACACTCCTTCACATCACCACCCACTTCCTTCCCAGTACTCTTTACAGGTACATGCCAACGCCAAGCTGATCTTCATCCGGCTGGCGCAAGACTTGTCATCGTAGGAATGGTTGCGCCCCGTAGGGTCTAGCGTACACCTCTACAGTACCTCGTACTTGCATTGACGAGGAACTCAGTACTTGGGAGCATTCGTCAGTCTTTGTCACTGCGCCTCATCCTTGGACGCCGCGGGGGAGAGTCCCGCCGCCTAGACCCGAATGACTACTACTTGTACTCGGTAATTTACTCACGGATACCCATTGCCCAATCTGGAGTAACTCGGTCCTTGGACACTCAGTCTTAATCGAACGTCCACTCACCTCAAGCCAGTCAGGCACTTGTATTTTCACACCCTTCTGCCGTGTCTTACCTCGGAATCGATTCAGCCATTGCACTGACGTACTCATATGCCCACAAACGAATGCTGTGGTAGCCGATTACTGCCGATTTAGCCGACTACGACAACGCCATGTCCGAGCACGTGGATTCCGGTTGTTGTAAAGGATGGAGAAACGCTCGATGTGCTGACCGGGTAAGGATCAGAAGCCTGTGCATCCTTGCTTCTGCATTGGAAATCCGTCGCAATTGCATAACGCACCGTGGGCCACATGAGATCCAATTTCGCCTTGGTACAGGCCACGCACCATTGCTGATCCATGGCGAAGAGAGTTAGCCATCAACTCGAAAAATCAGTAGCCTTGCACAGCCCTGGCTGCGAATAGGAAGACGGTTTCCCTTGCGAAACTAACTAACAGACCATACACACGTCGTCATCTGTTGCGTGTATAAAAGGGGGCTTTCAGTCAGATCTCGGCACTAAACCGTGATACAGGTGCTCCCGCAACAGCTCGACCCTGAAGATAGCCATGATTTTGACGAGGTTAATGCACCTTCTCTACCTTGTGGTAGCAGTGTAAGTCGTGTCACGTTCCGAGTTCGGCTCCAAGCAGAAGCTGACAACGCAATTCAGGGTGTCGGCGAGGAGACATACGTCTCTTGGGAAAAGACAGTCGCAGGGGGTTGACTACCCGTCAGTACATCTCGGTTTCGGACACAGTCTTGCTTCTTTCCTGCCGCTTCCTGGCTACAAACTGCCCATATTCGGTGACTTTGGTCCTAACCCATGAACAGCACCCACAACTTTACCATGCCGATTGATCACTTCCATAACGAATCTCGATACGAACCTCATACCAATGCCACATTTCAACAGTTATACTGGCTGGACACTACCAACTATGTTCCCGGAGGCCCAGTCATCATCCTGGCCATTGGCGAAGACTCGGCCACAGTTGACTTTGAATGGCTCCAGAAAGGTCTTCTCCACAAGATTGCCAACGCCACGGGAGGGGTTGCGGTCCTGTGGGCTCAAAGGCGAGTGATGTTGGTGGAGTAGGTTAGTTTTGGTATTGACCGTGAGACAGATACTACAGTGGCGGCGACGTTGTTCCCAGTGACCAACCATATACAACTGAAAATCTTCGCTTCCACAGCACTGAGCAGGCCATGGCTGATCTTGCCTACTTTGCCCAACGAGTGAGTTTCCCAGGGCTTGAAGATCGGAACCTCACCGCCTCGACAACCCCATGGATTATCCTGGGAGGATCGTACGGTGGAGCGATATCTGCCTTTTCCCGTATACAGTATCCCGACCTCTTTTGGGGTGGGCTATCATCTTCCGGAGTCACTGTCGCCATCGAGAACAATTGGCAATATTTTGACGTGATACGGCGATATGGACCTTCGGAATGCGTCAAAAGACAGCAAGAACTGACGAACCTGATGGACAATATCTACGACAGCGGCAACAAGACTGCCTTGTCTGAGCTTTTCAGTGGTTTCAATATTTCCGACGCCACGGAATACCCCGATTTCGCAAAGTTTATTACCGGTCCGTTGAATAGCTGGGACCAATTCTGGAATTTCCCACCAGATCCTCTGACCGGTAAGTGTCAACTGCACCAGTCTCAACATCCAGCCTTCCAGTGGACAGGACTGACTCGTCTCGTGCTCCTCCACAGGCCCGGGCACGTACTGCGGCTTCATTACTTCTAAAGCAAACGCGACAGTGGCGAGCGCGGCTCTTGAGACAACGGCACATTCTCTCCTCGCATATGCTAACAAGACAGCTACTCCTAACGTGACGGATCTCTACTACCCACTCCTAAACTTGTTCTCGTACGTGCAAACCAAGTACAGTTTCTGTGCCGGAAAGACAGTGAGCGAGTGTCTGTCCCTGAACAGCCCCGGGCCATTCCAGTGGATCGAATGCACAGAGTACGGATCGTTCACCACTGGATACACCCCTGGGAGACCAGGGCGCCCAACAGCCCTACCGCTGATCTCGCGCACTCTGACGCTAGAGTACCATCTCAACCAATGTCACTCCATCTACAACATCACGTACGACCCACAGCTCCAGCGGTTCAATAAGTACGGCGGTTTCAACATGTCCTATCCGCGCCTGGCCCTCTCGACCGGCCAGCTCGATTACTATCGACCGCTCACGCCACTGGCCGAGTTCCTCGAGGATGGGAAGCCCAACCCGCGCGTCAAGGACAATGGCACGGACAGCAATCCGCAAATCGTGATCGAGGGCGGCTATCACGAGTGGGATTTCCCGGGCCTGTTGCCCAACGAGACGGACTTTCACATGCCGGCGGTAGTGGCCAGTGCTCAAAACAGAGAGATCGAGGCGGTGAAGCTCTGGCTGCAGGAATGGAATCAGACTCACAAGGTCTGACAGCCAAAAAGGATATTTTGGTTTCAAAGTCACTTTTTTTTACTCCATGGTTGGGGAGGTTCGCCGCCCTGAGTTTGTGTGGTCAAGGTTTTGGCTAGACACGGTATGATGAGACTATATTGGGCTGACGGTGCAAACAATATCTCTAGTTCAGGTATAAGATGACAAGATGACACGGTTGAGTTTGCTTCTCAAGGAAGCCATGCGGCAGCCGCATGCCTGCTGCCTGCTGCCTTGGCATCACGAAATAAAACATCATTGATCCCTTTATTTCCTTCTCTTTTGGTGTCCCAGTTATCATCCACCTTTCTCGTCACCGTTTCCAACCAAGGCAGACGCCCCAGCCCAAGTGCGCCTCTTCGAAACATGTGCACGCCAGAGTCCACCAACACCAGCAGCCAGCACGGCATCTTCGTTTTCTCCTTCGACCACCGGGACTGCGTCGGCCGGCTGGGACGACCCCGAGACGTGCTGGGCTTTTTCAGATACGCGCCAAAAGAAGGGTCGATGAAGGACTGGTGTGGCCGCCACTGCTGCTGACGAGCTTATTAACCAAGGATTCATGAGCTTGTCGATACAGGCGATAGAACACAAGCATAATCTTTTCGGTTCGAGGAGAGTATGAGAGTGTTGACGGAACACTGATGATGGCTAATTCAGCCAGGTGTGTTAATCATGCGTCTAGGGGTGTATGGCTGCCATCGGAACTATCAAGACCATGCTAGATCGCGGATAGGCCACGCACCTTCATGAGGTTTAACTGACATACTAACGCTATCTGGCAGGTTGCAAGATGCAAGGCTCTCCAGGTACCATCACGAAAGTAACCTCCGGACGACAAAGAAAGGCCATCTTCTCAGTGCTGATCCCTCTCATAAAGCAGCTCCTATCGACCCATCATTCAAGCTGGTCTGCTTGCCTCTGTCGGTGATGACAACAGCCCCTAGCCAGAGGCTGGCTGGCTGGGCTGCATGTCTGGTCTGGATGAGCATGTTTTCTCAAGACCATGGACTCGAGCTAACAAGGCTTAGAAGCGCAGATAGGGGGAAGGTAATCTTACTCACTCGGTAGATGCTAGCAAAGTACGAGTCCGCAAAGTGTGTTCCATCTCGAAATGGCCCTTTAATCGGGGTGCAGGGCTGACGTCTGTACTCAGTCCAGAGGTGCCTATGTTCTAATCAAACAAAACATCCATTTGCCTCTTCTTTGTCTATCGTCCCTCCTATCCACCCAAAGCCAATTTCTTAAGAATACAGACCGAATGTGCCAAAAAAAGATGTTTGAACACATCCTCGCAATCTTTGTCTGTTGTTGTGCACTCGCCACCACCGCCGCCACCGCTGAGGAGACAAAGAAGAGCATCCTCGAGACAATCAAGAGCACTCCCGAACTATCCAGCTTGGCCGCCCGTCTCGACGACTTCCCATCCTTTACGTCGCTGCTGGAGAGAGAGCAGATAACGCTGCTCGCGCTGGACAATGCCGCGTTGAGCGAGACCGCGGAAAACATCACAGAGTCGTTCTGGCAATACCACGTCCTCGACGGCTCATTTCCCACCTTCCCCACGAATTGGACGCAATATCTTCCCAGCATGCTACAGGTCGACGGGTCTACCGAGTTCGTGGTCGCGCAGACGTCGCTGCTCAGCGGCACCACGACTTTCTGGTCCGGCGCGCAGAGGACGTCGTATACAACCGGGAATGTGACGAGCTGCAGTAACGGCGTGATCCACGTCATCCAGCGCGCGCTGGCACTTCCCGGGAATTTCAGTTCGACGTACGCGCAGAGCGTCTTGATCAAGAATCCCTCCCCGTTTTCTACCACTAACACGAGTGGTGGTGGTGTTGTGGAGGACGTCAACGTCAACGTTGTCAAGAACGGATCGACCAGGATCAAGTCGATCGACTCCCTCTCCGGCATCACCGTCTTCCTGCCCATCACCCACGCGTTCCAGGCCATCGGCTCCGTCGCGAGTACCTGGACCCTGGAGGAGTTGCGGCGGATCATGTCCTACCACGTCGTCGACGAGGTTCTGACGCCCGACGCCACGGGTAATCTCCCTCGGGGGGAGTACTCGACGCTCGAGACCTCGAAAAAAGTGGTAATCTCCAGCGTTGGAGGTGTCCAGTTCGTCAACAGTGCCAGGATCGTGGGCAAGTATAACTGGGTGTTTGAGGGGGGCACAATATACACGGTTTTCGGGTAAGTTCTTACTTAAAAAGAGATGATAAATGCCACCTTTCTCTCTTTCTTTTTTCTTTTTCTTTTCCAAACCAGCCGAGGCTGAAGTCTACGCCAGCGTGCTGAATCCTGACAACACCACCGTGGCCCCCAACGCCAGCGACTCGGGCGTTGCATTCGCGGGCGCCTCCTTCACCACCGACGTGTCCTTCCCAATAACATCTACGTCTTCCACCAACTCATCCTCGTTGACGTCTGGCGGTCTCTCGATCGGAGCCAAGGCCGCCATCGGTATGGGGGCTGTTGTGTTCGCCATCATCGCAACGCTCCTGGGATTCTGGATTTTCCACCCGGGGCGCTCAAGACAGTGCGCTTCCATTAAATATGAGGACGGCGGGTACCAGCTCTCCGACATGAGCATGTCTCAAAAGAACTTGACGTCTCACCCAGGAACCATGGGGCGAGGGGTTTGATAGTCCCGCCCACTGATGATCTCTGATACGTTCCGTGTCGCTCGAAGGCAGGAATCTAATCAGCGCTGCCAAGGTCAAAGAGTGCCATTTCCCATCGAGGAAGTGTATGTATATCAGAAGTGAAGATGACTAGACGTGGACCGGCCTTGCAAACCATGTGCGATAGTCGTAGAACCAGCTGTGAGCATGTTTCCACGAACCACGAATGGACCATTCAAGTTGCACGTTTCCGATTTTGTCCAAGGGTTGCGGGTCACAGAGCCCAAATTCGGGATAGGCTGGTCGACCACCCCACACGGCATCAGAGAGAAAATGTGCTCTCCCATCTCCTCTACTTTGCGCCTGACGTTTGATCTCCCAGGGGCCTGGACTGCAGGATTCGGATAGGGATAGACTGGCAGACGATGCGCCATTCATTCGTTCATTCACTCACGCCCGTCTCTGGCGATCGTGGCCAACTTCGACGGGGAAAGCGGAGTGAGTGAGCGAACCGGTCAGTTTGCTAACGTGGCCGTAGGTTATAAAATCTACTCGCATGACGGAGCAGGGGGATGGAGAAGCTCCAAGAGTGATTGTTTCAGGTTCAGGGTTCGGAACTAGATAGTCATAGACAAGCACTCGTCCGTGTTTAAGGGCGTCGCTCATATCGCATGGTCTGTTCATTCGAGTTGAAGCAGTGGACCTCCTTGTCCTTCTGCTGAGCCAGTCCTGAAAGAATAGGGGCTATGTCTAGTCCCGTAATACTAATCTTTCGATATTGCGGAGTTTGTCCGTTGGTCGTAGGTGACCCGACTATATCTCGTAGCATGTTTTTGACCAAACCGTGACGATATATTAGTATCAACGCCATAGTCTCGACGCGGAAGGATTGGGACAGAACGCGATCATCTGTGGCTAGTCATCCTCTCCGCAGAAGCTGGTTGTTGACAAACTTAAGACCTTTCGACCTTTCTTTAGGTGCTTGAAGTCCAGAAGAGGAAATATGGGGACGAACAACAGTGTCCCCTGCTATAGAAGGGGGGTAGTAGTGATTCGATACCACTGAGAATTCCTCTGAACTTGCTCAGGATCACTCCCGCTAGGGGGTTAAAGGTTCGGCTCAAGAGATTCGGGTGTTTGTCCCCTAACACACTGTATGGATCGCCAAGTGCGCATTGCCATGGCATTCGCCAATGATATCGAAGTCGTAAATTCGTGACAAAGAAAGATGATACTGAGGCCATTCTCGATACTATCTTTCGTATGTGGGTCATATTGGGCTATGTGATGGCCTCGATCCCAATGGCATTCGTCGAGAATTCTACGAAGGCGCAGGACGCGATCGTAAATTAGAGAAAAGGGTCGCCATTGCACGGTAGAAAAGAGGCTTCCCACATTGTCTGCGATGGAGGCACAAAAGTTGTACTCGCATATTTCGCTCAAATACTGCTGAAGAACGGTGCTTGATATTTGTGGAAAGTCAGAAAATGGCCGAGTGAGTGAAGGCGCCGGCCACGTGCCTGCCAAGCCATGTAATGATTGTCGAGACCCGTGCGACCGTGACGATCATTGGACATGACATGCCTCGAGGGCTCCATGAGATTCGAAAGTTTCGGGTCTCATTGTTGACAAGGCACCAAAGATACCACGGTACCAAGACATCTAATCGTACTTTGTCCACTTGTTCATTTCTCCTGAATTGTGCTCTCCAAATCTAACAAAATGGTATGTCTCGCTGCTTCTCTCCGGTCACAGGCTGCTAACATGTCTCAGTCTCTCTCCGACTCCAAAAAGCGTCTGGCGCTGTCAATAATAGACTTCCTGTCCACCTCTCTCAGAGATGGCACTCTCACGGCCGACGATGCCGACAACATTGAGATTGCCAGCAACTGCATCGCAGAAGCATTCAAGGTCGATCCCTCCGACAAGGCTGCCGTCTCCGAAGCCGTAGGTTCTCAGTCCTTGCTCAACATCTTCTCGGTCTACGAGAAACTGCAGGGAAAAGCCCCCTCCACCGAAAGTCAAGCCCCTCCTCCGCAGCCAGCAACCTCGCAGGCGATAAACCCCGAGGCAGAGAAGCTCAAGAGTGCGGGCAACGCGGCTATGCAACAGAAAGACTACAAGACCGCGATTGAAAAGTACACCCAGGCCATCTCCTTCGCTCCTACAAACCCTATCTACCTCTCCAACCGTGCCGCCGCCTATTCTGCAAGTGGCGATCATGCTTCCGCAGTAAAGGACGCCGAACTCGCCGTGGCTGCAGATCCCAAATACACAAAGGCTTGGTCAAGATTAGGACTGGCGAGATTCGCCATGGGCGATGCCAAAGGAAGTGTTGAGGCCTACCAGCAGGGCATCGACTTTGAAGGAAATGGAGGCAGTGAGGCCATGAGGAAAGGTCTGGAGACTGCAAAGAAGGAACTGGCTCGTATGGAAGCAGAGGAACAGAAGATACCTGAAGATGAGGTTGACGATGCAGCGGGTGACACCCGTGGTGGAGGCGGAATGCCGGATCTCGCCAGTCTAGCAGGAATGTTCGGTGGTGGTGGTCGTGGAGGGGGTGGTATGCCTGACCTGTCCAGCATAATGAGCAATCCCATGTTCGCATCTATGGCGCAGAACATCATGCGCAACCCTGAGGCTCTCAGTGGTATTATGAACAACCCGACATTGCAGAATCTGGTGAACAATCGCCGAGAAGGTGGAGGTGGTATGCCTGACATGAGCCAAATTCAACAAATGATGCAGGACCCTCAACTCGCGAACCTGTGAGTAGATCCCGAAGGATACTGAAGACTTTTGCTGACAGCTACAGTGCGCAACAGTTTATGGGTGGAGGTGCCGGCGGCGCTGGTGCTGGGCGGGGTGGTCAACGATGAACTGGAGGGAGATGATGTGCTCTGTGACATAGGTAATACGAAGGGATGATATGTCAAACACGACGACGATAGCATGCCGCATATTGAATGCCGATACAATGTGACAATTTGAGAATTCCTTCGTGTGGTGTTGGAAAGCTCGATTCAGTTTCGCCGAGGGGTTTTTCTAAGCGCCATGCTGAGCTACTCTGAATCTTTTGTGCAATAGCATCCTCCAAGGCGCATTATCGGCTGACACCTGACACTTGGTTGGGTATATCCTTATGTGAGAATGCTATTCTTCGGCCGAATCGCTGTACCCCCCAAATCCTCTTGCATGAAGCTAACGGTACCAGGCCAATACCAGATCCGATGTGCTGGCATGGATGCGCTGCAACACAACAGCCCCTCCTCGGCAGAGGTACATGAGATGTGTGTCTATGTGGTGATAAATGTCGTGGGTGTTCTACGAATGCTCATCTCCTCCCCTCAACGTCTCGGCTTTGTTATCCACACCTCCCTGAATCCAATCTGACCAATCGTGGTCGCCTTTGCTTGCAGAGCCTCACCATGGCTTCCATCGCCGGCAAGGTTTTTGCCCTGACAGGTGCAAGTTCTGGACTGGGGTTAGCAACATGCTGCAGGCTCGCCAGGCTCAACGCCAGAGCTATCTCTATTGGTGACATCAACCCTGGCCTTTTCGACAGTGCAAGGAAGAAACTACAGTCGATCAATCCTGATACGCAGGTATCTATGACCAAAGTCGACGTCGCTTCGAGCCTGGATGTGAATGCTTGGATCAAGGACACGGTCAACACCTTTGACGGCCTCGACGGAGCCGTGAATTGCGCAGGAGTCATCAACATGTCTGCCAACCAACAGACGCCCCTGTTCTTGAACGAAACGGATGAAACCTGGAACCGGGTGGTGAACGTGAACTTGACAGGGATATTGTACAGCATGAGGGCGCAGGTGAAGGCGATGATGGAGTTGCCCAAGGCGCCGCGGAGCATCGTCAACATTGCCAGTGCGGCGAGTCTATTCCATGATCCGACCATCCTGTCATACTGCGTGACGAAGCACGCCGTGGCATGTCTGACGACCACGGTATCGAAGGAATTGGGACCGTTGGGGATTAGGTTAAACGCTGTCTCTCCCAGTGAGTCTTTACGTCAGATCCCTCCTCCGACCACCCGTGTGCTAACTCGTTTTTCTAAGGCGCAACGAAGACGGGGATGGCGTTGTCATGGTACAAGGACGAAGAGGAGGCTGAGGCGGATATGGCCAGGCGCGGAGTGATCTTGCTTGACCCAGAGAGAGTGGCCGAGACGATAACATGGCTGCTAAGTGAAGATTCGACTGGAATCAACGGTGTCAACGTTCCTGTTGGGGCGAGCGCTTCATAGTTCGTGCCTGCAGTGTGTTGTACATAGTCAGCATTGAGCATTTCGGCATACCTAGGGGTGAATGGTGACCTGGTGTAGAAATGGTTTAGGGAGGATGCCGCCGTTAAACTCTCCCCGCCACCCGCCCGCCTCGCCTGTGTTCCCGCCGAACCATCACCGCCACGGTGGGAGCCACTTCCCACTTCTTCCACCACCATCGTCCATTGTCCATCCTCGGATAACTGCGAAACTGACTTTCTCGCTTTGACATCATCCTGCAGTCCTTCCACGCTACCCTGGCCGGAAAACAAGAGACTTTTCGCACCCACTTCATGCGAGGCATTTCCGCATCCACACACCCCTCACGTCCGCCAGTGCTCGCAACTGCGCCGTTGATTGGCCTCAGCCCACAAACCAAGAAATCCTGTGCCAACTCGTTGCCCCTCAGCTTCTCGAGCAATCAGTGTTTTAGATAACCGTTCCTCCTGGAGCAGTCGTCCTTCCCAGATTTCTGCTGCAACAGCGGGTCCAATGGCGGGGTCGACGCTTTCTGCCGTCGCAACCAAGCTCCTGCGGCAAAACTTGAGCTGCGAGGAGCTCACCTAGGAAGCTTGGAGCTTGGATACTCTAGAAAGCTCTTCGGGGGAAAAAAAAAGCTTCCTGCTAGAGCTCTGAGACTACGTAACTCACAAGTCATGGCAGTGGTGGCACCAGCTGAGCCCTTCCCAGGGATGAAAAAGGTGGGCATGGGTGGTTGTTTGCGATCCCTCCTAACTGTCATTCTTTCATCGTCCTACATCCCTACCAACCTGTAACTGTCTCTCTCATCGATCTGTGCCATCCTTCCTCTATCCGATTCGCTCGCTATCTCCTAAACGGGAATATGCTGTGGGCTGTTCTCGCATTCATCAACCCTCTTCTGGGACAAGCCTTGGCCTAGTTAGTAACGTCATCTGCTCCCTTTGGTGATTATCCAGCGCCCTAATACAAGTTGTAGCGACTCAGGATACTGGACGCCGACGACAACATCATATTGGACACCCACAACCACATCGTATTGGTCATACTGGACACCCTCGACAACCTATGTGACAAGTTACACGCAAGCAAACGTCATCGTCACAGTCACCTCTGTGTTGCCTTGTCCTGTCACTTCGACGGTCGTGTACTGGGAATGCTGCGACCAATGCGAAAACAACTGTTACAATCCCCCGACGGTATATCAACCGACTGGATGGGTTGGTACCACGACGGTGACTTCTTACACAACCACTACCCCGGCCCCGGAGGCCGTGCAGACGATCACCAGCAACGGACTGGTTATTGTCATGGTGGAATCCACCGGGGCGCAACAATCGGCGACACCCAGTGTGGTCTATGAGGTTAGCAATGAAGCTGGACCTCTACAGGAGGGGCTCATGTCGAGCCTCTGGCCGATGGGTATAATGTTGGCGGCCATTGCGACGATCATGATAATGTTATAATAATGCCCGGGTGTCACACATCTCACAGGTTAGTTTGTTGCTATCTGCGTGAGAAGGATTAATCCGCTGTCATGTTTCTTGTATATAGCTGGGCGGCTCCATGACTTTGACGACTGATTGATCTGATGAGATATCCTAGTGAATAATAATAATGATGATGGATGAATATTGCTTTTGCTGATTTGCCTTGCAGCTGATTAGGGCTCATGCACGTTATTGGCTCGTGGACAGCGACAAGGCTCTAAACGTCGTTGCTTGACACGATAAGCTTAACGTCATCTGCGCCCCAATTGGCCACTCCAGCATCGCCCATCCCCCCCCCATTTCGCATTATCTATCGACCAAACAGGCTCGTAACAGTTATCGTCAGCCCGTGAGCTCGTTTCTCTATCAGGGGAAATTCAGCTCCGCAAAACTTGATTCCTCTTTCTGTGTTTTTATTTTTGAAAAGGTGCCGGTGCCTAGCACTGCGATCTTCACTCAACATCTCGGTCTGGATCCGCCGTCCCCCTGCACTATCGACAATCATGTCAGCAGCCACGAGACGGAATCCTGGATTGACCAGTTGATTGATGGATTGGTTTTTGTCCCCTTTCCAACGTTTCAGCGTGTGTCCCCGTTACGTTACCTTTTATTTGATCCCCATTATTTCGCGCCGCGCCGCGCCGTCACTACATACCTCCATACCGACTGACCCTGCATATACATACGGGGACATAAATACTTACCCTTAACACGCAACACGACCACACATTTCCAACTCGCCATGCCATCCCCACCCAGCCCAACGGCTAGGGACGCCAACGGCGGCGACCACGCACGAGCGCGCCCAGCACCGTCAAAGAACAAGTCATCGTCGTCGACGTCCTCGCGGCGGCAGCGACGACGTAGGAAACCCGCCACGGGGAGTGCCTTCTCGGCGCAGTTCCGGCTCAACCGACAGCGCGGGGAGACGGAGGCGCTGCTGGCAACGCAGCACGACGAGGAGGATTTTGCCGACAGCGACGGCCTGTACCCGCCGCACTGCACGTGGACGAGCCGCGACCAGGACCGGCTGGGCGGGCGGCCGCCGGCCGAGGCAGACCCCTTTGGCAACGCGCACTGTAACGTCTATGAGAACATTCATCGGTGAGTTTGATCGACGGGTCCTCTCCTGCTATTGCCTTCTATGTCTGTCTTTCTAGGTGGGACCATGCTGTCCATATCTGTGCTTTTTGTTTATGGAGCTCGGTCGGTTGAGCGAATAGGGTGTCTGGATGGGACTGGGGAGTATGCAACAACATTCGAGGGAGTTGGATCGTCCTTGGAAGTGCCACTCAAGCACAGCATGAATGCAGAAAGGGGAAGTCGAGAGAGAAGGGGGAGCATTTGATTTTGCAACCTTTTGACGAATCCGAATTCTGACATGTGATCTGTCTGGTATAGCATACGGAGAGACATCATCACAAGCATCGGTGAGTGCTTCCCGACAGAGGTCGAGCTAGGTTGCCAGACTGTGAAGTCATCACCACATGCTGACATTGACTGTGGCAGATGATCCCTATTCTCTCGACCAGCTCAAAGCTCCGCGGATGAACATCTCTGTTGTGCGGCCATTGGTCGATTCTCTGTACGAGACAAACGACCTATCGATCGGTCTGGAGCCCTCCAAACACCCATTTGAATCGCCCCTGTGTTCTCCGTGCTGATGAATACTTTTTCTTTTCAGTGTACTGCCTACTCGTCAACCGAATGCAATTCATCCGCGAACAGTCGTACGCGACGCACCATCAGACGGTGAACCTCACACGCGCGCTTCTGTGTGAGCTCGTGGCGGAAAAGATCCTCCGGCGATACAACGAGCACAACCCCGGACCGAGGGGCCTGCTCAAGCTGGCAAATATCCTGGTTGCGGGGTTCGAACCGTTCCAGGGCGCACCCGACGAGGTGACCTCGCAGAGTCAGCATGCGATGCACTACTGGACCGCCCAGCGGAGATCCGAGTCCGGTAAAGTGGAGAGGAAACTGACAGCCCTGGAAGTTGCTATCGTCAGCGCCAGCAAGTCGTTTCTGGCGAGCAGTGCTTGTCAAAAGGTCGTGGACGCCATTTACCGAGGCAAGGTCGTATACACGCCCAGCAGTTTCATCGACATCATACCCGACCATTGGAAGAAGAGACCGATTTCCCTGTATGACCCGCGACGAGCCCCGTTGCTGAATCAATACAGATTGATTGTGCCACGGACAAGGAACTTGATTGAAGTCTGTCAGTTTGTCATTCTACTCGCCCTATACATTGCGGTTATGGCGGCGCGAGAAAATAGAATGGACACCACTTACGAGGTCCTCGAGCTGGTCTTTGATGTTTATGGGGCTGGTTGGGTACGTCCTTTTTCCTGTGAGAAATGATGCATGGCTGACAAGGAGATCCTCCCAGGTACTCGATCAACTCGCATCTATTCTCGAACATGGTTGGGGTGTGTATACTCAGAATTTGTGGTCGTTTCTCGATGTCATGTTCTCGACAATATTCATCATATACCTTGTCTTACGAATTTGCGCCTCCTCCTTTGTCGACGAGGAAAAGTCCATTGCCCTCGCGCGGACTGCTCTGGACATTCTCAGCTGCGCCGCTCCGGTGCTCATTCCTCGACTAGCATTCAACGTCATGTCGGAGAATATGTTGTTTCTCTCCTTGAGAGCGATGATGTCTGATTTCCTGACTCTGACTGCGCTGGCCGTATGGTGCTTTGCGGGCTTCCTCCTGAGCCTTAAGTGGCTGCATGCTGGCGCTCATCAGGCTGTGACGATCGGGGAGTGGATGATCTGGATTTGGTTCGGTCTCGACGGGACTGGTATTGATCAGTCCCCGGACTTCCATTGGCTCCTTGGACCCGCCTTGATGGTGTTGTTCGCTTTCCTGGGCAACACGTTGTTCCTCACCGTTCTCGTCTCGATGCTGACAAACACATTCAGCGGCATCGTTGGCAACGCTGTTCAGGAAATCCAGTTCCGGCGAGCCGTCCTCACTTTCGAAGGGGTCAAATCAGACGCCATCTTTGCGTATATGCCTCCATTCAACATCCTCGCACTGATACTTGTGCTGCCTTTAAAGTGGATGCTCTCCAAAAGAATGTTCCACAAGGTCAACGTCGTAGCGGTCAGGGCGATCAACCTACCGACATTGCTGATTGTTGCATGGTACGAGAGGAGAACGCTCTGGATTTCGGACAAGCGGAAGATTGCCAGCAGCAAGAAAATTGACTGGAAGCATCCCGGCGGCCCCAGGGCGACGCCTGCGCAATATTGGGCCCTCTCACGATTTAGTGTACATGGAGATATCCACGCAGTGTTCGACATTGATCCGCCACAGTCCGTACTGGACAAGATCGCCGAAGAAGACAACCTTAATCACAGCGACGACATGGGGATCCTTTCCAACACCAAATTGCAGGACCAATTCACGCACTTGTCGCAGCCAAGAAGAGAGAGCCAGACGGTGGATTCGAGTCAAAACCCACCAGTCAACCCGGAGCCTGCGAAGAGCGGAAGGAGAGA